TGCTTCTACATGACAACCAATGTAATATGTTGGATGCTGTCATGGAAGCTATTAATTCTGAAGCAGATGTTTTTTTGTAGACGGACCAGGTGGTACAGGTAAACCGTTTCTTTACAATGTTTTACTAGCAAAAGTTAGATCAAATGGGGATATTGCAGTTGCTGTAGCTTTCTTAGGAATTGCTGTGCTTCTATTAAATGGGTCAGACTGCATATTCTTAACTTAAAATCTCAATCAAAGTGAATGAATTTTCAACTTGCAACATTTCTCAAGGAAGTAAAGAAGCCTATTTAATTTGCGCTGCTAAACTTTTCATTTGGAACGAAACTTAAATAGTAAATAAATTTGCTGCTGAAGCTGTAGATAGAACATTTCGTGATATCACAGAAGTTGATAAACTATTTAGCAGAAAAATATACATTTTCAGCAGCAATTTTTATCAAGTACTGCCCATTGTACTACATGGTTCTCACGCTGATATTGTCTCTGCAAGTTTAGTTAGATCTTCTATATAGCATCATGTAAAGATTATGAAATTGTCAGTTAATATAAGACTTAATCATAATAATTATGATATTTGTGAAAGTTTAAATCAAAGAAATTTTGCAGAATTCCTCTTAAAAATTAGAGATGGCAAATATCCTATCATTCGGGCACTGAAGATTTAATAGAACTTCCATTGGATATGATAATTCCTGGAGGAAAGTTACAAAACTTTATCACTTTGTGTATCTGAACTTAGTCGAAAATTATAATAATCCACATTATATAGTTAGTAGAAGTATCTTAACTCTGAAGAACGATGATGTCGAAAGAATATCCAATTTGATGATAGACCAGTTTTCTGGTGAGATTCATGTATACCCTATTGCTGATTCAACAGATACTACAGAAGACAATATTACTAAACAATCTCAATTATATGCACCTGAGTTTCTAAAATCCTTAAAAATTTCTGTGATTCTTTCTGGTGAATTGAAGCTAAAAGTAGGAACACCGATTATGCTATTATGAAACTTGAATCTGTCTGAGAAACTTTGCAATGGAACAAGACTGATTTGTTGTGGCCTTTATAGTAAAGTCATCAACACCGTAATTATGACAGGACCACATGCTGGTAGCAGTGTTTTTATTCGA